GTTTCAGTCACATCATGTATGTCACATAGCCACAGTATATCACCTGTAGCAAAAAGAAAAAAAATCTCCATCATCCAGAAAAAAACATAGATAAGTTTGTGATAAGAGCCAGCAGATTATAAAAAGAGGTAATTGATGAAAAAATTGCCTGGTTTGTTTATGCAACAAACTCTCCTTTCCATATGATTTAGAAGTTGAACCCACACTTCATTAACATGGTTGTGTCATTAAGACCAGAATACAGTCCACCCCACAGACCAGATGTCGTAGGCAAATTGCTGGATAAAGTATATGAAAGAGAAACTGAGCAGTGTGCAAAAGGTCTAGAGGGTAAAATTGTTAACCTGAGTGTTGATGGGTGGAGCAATATCCACAATGATCCTGTTGTACGTGCTTGTGTGACAACAGAAGAAGGGAATGTCTTCCTTACAGAAACAATTGAGACATCAGGAAATGTGCACACAGCAGAATACTTACAAGTAGCAGTAAAAGCTATAACAAACTGTGAAAAAAAATTCAAATGTCTAGTACGCCGTTTGGTCACAGACAATGCTGCAAATGTATCCAAGATGAGAAGAAATTATTTAGAAGCGAGTCCCAAGCTAATAACATAGGGTTGCAGTGCTCATTTGATGCACCTCCTAGCCAAAGATTTCAGTGTTCCAGAAATAAAGGCTAATGTTGTTGAAATTGCAAAATACTTCCGTAACAACCACTTTGCAGCAGCTGCTCTGAAAAAAGTGGGAGGAACCAAACTAACTATCCCACAAGACGTGTGATGGAACTCAGTAGTGGACTGTTTTGAGCACTATATCAAGAACTGGCCTAATCTGATGATAGTTTGTGAACAAAATAATGAAAAAATAGATGGCACTGTCACAGCCAAAGTTCTCAACATTGGGTTTAAGAGAAATGTTGAACACATGCGGAGTACCCTGAAGCCTATTTCTGTAGCCTTGAACAAAATGCAGGGAAATAGATGTTTTATTGCTGACGCTGTTGAAATTTGGAAGGAACTGAATGAGATCTTAAAAAGCGAAATATGCAACGACAGAGTTAAATTACAAGTATTAAAAAAACGAATGGGACAAGCACTATCTCCAGCTCATTTTCTTACAAATATTCTCAATACAGTACCAGGGTCAAACCTTAACTGCTGAAGAAGAGGAGTAGGCTATGATATGGACATCCTGCAATCATCCCTCCATAATGTCAATTATAATAAACTTCAGAGCTAAGGGTGAACCACTCAAGAAATATATGTTTGCTGATGATGTTTTAAAGAAAGTCACACCAGTGAACTGGTGGAAGTCAGTGAAGCATTTGGATTTAGAGAGTGTTGAAGTGATAATCTCACTTTTAACAGCAGTAGCTATTTCTGCCGGTGTAGAAAGAATATTTTCTTCCTTTGGATTAATCATTCCAAATTGAGAAATCGTTTGGGACCTGAAAAAGCAGGAAAGCTTGTTTTTCTTTTCCAGATTATGAACAAACAGGAAAATAAAGGTGAAGACGATTGAGTTAGCTGCAGAAGCCAATATTTTAAGTTCCTCACGTTGACCTGGCTGATACAGTCGATTTAATTTTTGTTTTGTTTTTTAAATATTTCATTTAACTATTTTAGTTAAAAACAATTTTAACAAAAACCAACCTGATTTTAAAAAATGTGAATGTTTAACTAAATTCAAAAATTCATATGCTTGTTTTGTTAAAATATTACATGTTTGCTAGTGAAGAAAAAAAAATCCAGAATACATAATGTTGTTGTTTTAGTTAAATAAAAGAATTTAAATGTCTCTCTGGTGATGTTCTCCTCCTAATACAGCATGGCAAGAAAATCCTCCCAATGACTTCATAAATATCTACTTCAATTACCTTTGGTAAATTAAATAACCAATCGTTCATTTTCTGATATAGCTGTAAAACTAATCTGAAAAGTTTTCAAAATAAATCACTTTAAAAATGTATAGTGTGTACCTTCTAAAAATGAAAGCTACATCTATCTCTGGAGTTGTGAAGAATATTTATTAAGGTTATAACAACTAACAAGAATGCACTTTTATGTAGAAATCCGTGATTAAATCGAGTCTTCCTGACTAGTGATTTAAATCAAATCCACCCTGATGGGAGTTTTGCCACAGGCTGAAATGAGGCCAGAATTTCACCCACTGTTATCAAAATATTTGATTTTTAAAATATATTTCCCTTTAAGTTATCTAAGGTAGTGTTAGTATAATTGATAGAGAATGTAATTTGTTTACAATATGATTTTTAAACTGCATCAGAGGAAGGTCCAATATCCAAATAATGGAGGCACGTGAAGCTGTGTGTGGAATGCTAAAAGGCCACTTGATAGATTTCCTCTGTTGAGGAAGGTCCATCTTTATCCAGGAAGTGGCCATATTACAAAAGGAATTCACACTAATGCCTATGAGAAATAAGAGCTCCTCTAACATCTATGCTCCCTTAAAACACACTCAAATTCATTTAGCAATACCCAAATGGGAAGCAGACTTCCCTTTCTTGGTGCCAGAAAATGACAGAAACAGGTCAATGCCCAGTGATGAAACAGAAAACTTTGTCTTTTTAAAATTATTTATAAAAACAGAAAGACATCTCTACAGAGCAAAAGAGATACAACAGACAGCGCTTCAAGATATGTGCCCTCACGGTAAAATCTTTCAAAAAACTGGCCAAAACATATAAAATAGTGAAAATCCTGTGTAAATGGTATATTTAAAAAAAACCCAATAATTTAGTTCACTAGTCCTGATTCTAAAGGGTATCGTATAGCTGCGTGACTAACAAGCCTCGGCCAAAAAAAACCTCCCAAAAACCCAACTGGCTTTTTCTGCATGATTCCTAAAAATACAGATCATTTAGCAATCATCCCCAAGGTCTGAGAGAACACTTTTTTCTTAAAATTGTTCTAAATAAATCTTGTTCACTTATGAACATAAATAGGACATGCTTATTCAGATTATTCATTAATCAAGTTATGACTACTTAGTGTTTATTCTGGGAATGCTGACTACAAATCACTGCAGCTGTCACTTCCGTAGACAAGTAAAAGGGCCAATCAGTAAATGAACGCTATCCTAGACCAATAATGCCATGTTGTTATTTTGCAGAGTTTGTAATCCTTTGAATTTGGGCAGTTATTCCACTACCAATCACACCAATGTCTAACTAATACAGTTAAATATCATGCATTAGATTTTTCAGAGATTAATCTGTACTGCACATGTAAAAAATGAAAGTTGCACTGTATATCTATATAAGCTTGAACTTGCACACACTTCTAGTTTTCAACAGGCAGAGTTAACAGGAATGACACTACTGAGCATCTATATGACTGCAGACACAAATGTATCTAACCGCACATCCAGCATTAGGAAATGCTTTTGTATATTAAATTATGTAATGTCTTGTTTCCTACAAATCTACATATAAGGAGAGATGCACCTTGAATGATATTTAGAAAAAAAGAGGAATTTTCAGAGTATTTTGTACTCCGAAAGGGAAAAGTAGTTGCAGTACTGCAAAAATGTATCAGAAATGAATATATGTGAGTGGAGAGAATATACAGAAAAAAAGTTACATTAGACTAAACATTCCTGTTTTATCAGTGAAGTTCAGCTTTCATCTGCTGGTTATCTTTTGTTTAAAGAAGTCATTTTCTGTTTACAGTGAAGTGCCCTGATAGGCAAATGAGCAAAAAAGCAGAAAATGATACATTAGCAAGCCAGGAACATGGTGGTTATACAGAAAAGTGTCCCTGCAATTTAGCTGTTTTTAATGAACTACTATATAGTCATTTTTTCCAATTTGGCATGAAGGTGCTTGTGAAGATACTTTAATTTACATTACACTCCAGTGGTTACTTAGGGTCCCACTCCTGCAAGCTGCTCCACATGGGTCAACTCCTTTGCCCACACGGAGACTCATTTACTTCAGCGGGGCTCTTCATGGGCTCAGGGACTCACCCCCAATATGAAGCAGTTTGCTGGATCCTGGCCTAATGAATGATCTGAAAATGTAACCCCATACATCACTTACTAGCTCTGTCCATGAGCTAGTCACTAGAGTTAAACTAAACTTATCAATTCACTGAAAGCAGATCTTCAGTAATATATCTGAGTTTGTGCTTTAGTAACTTACAGGACTGCTTTTTGACAGTTCTCTTTCATACAGTACACAGTGAGAAATATAATCAGTTCAATATCATAGCAATTCCAAAATACTGACATTTAATGGCTTCATCTATATCAAGGACATTTTGAAGGTATTATTTGTGAAAAAAAATTTATAGCATCATTACAATAGGAGCCTCAATATTACAGAAGAATGTTAACATCAGTTCTTATTAAGAGAAACTTTTCTGTAGGTACCATTTGGCATGCGCAGATGAGGTATATTAAATCTATCTCCCCATGTAAGTATTCTCACACTTCTTATCAAACTGTCTGTATTGGGCTATCTTGATTATCACTTCAAAAGTTTTTTCTCTTACTTAATTGGCCTCTCAGAGTTGGTAAGACAACTCCCACCTTTTCATGCTATGTGTATATATATATATATATATATCCTCAATATCTGTTCCATTTTATGCATCCGAAGAAGTGGGCTGTAGCCCACAAAAGCTTATGCTCAAATAAATTTGTTAATTTACCACAAGTACTCCTGTTCTTTTTGCGGATACAGACTAACACGGTTGCTACTCTGAAACCTGTCATTAAATATATGTAATCTATCACATTAAACTGACTTCTATAGTTGCGTGCAATCTCTCTTATTGTTTTAGCTGGAGAATGTATTAAAGTGAATGATTTCCTACATCAAAAAATCCTGCCCTTCATGGTAAAACACAAAGATGCTGCATGCCTGCCTTTTGATACAAGCATGAGTCTAAAGGCTTTTAAATATTTAATAACGAAACTACTGAATGGCAGCTCAGAAAACAGAGCCTGCTGAAATACCTCAGTATATTGAGCACTGACCTGCTAAATCCAGAAACAGATATGGCTCCCCTGTTTCCTGTCCAAGATAAATTCAGCCACTGGATGAGAGTGCAGCGAGACAGTAGGTATTCCAGAGATGTGTCATTTATCCTTGCCCAGTAGGGTTGTAAACTGAGGTGAATGTATTGTAGAGGATCACAGCAATGCTGATATAGTAGCTTACAAGTCTGTGCTAGTCTACACAGGTCTGGTACTGTAAGGTGACTCAAAATCAACTGAATGAGCTACATTAAAAACACAAAAAACAGATCACAGAATTCAAAATGTGAAGGGAAATTTGCCAAGCAGTAAGAAAATGTACTATAATTACAAAGTTAATATTTTTATTTAAAGTAGTGTTTCAAATAAACCATAGATTAACAATTAAATAAGAAATCACCACCTTATCAGTTAGATAACATTAAGCAACAGTGGAAAAGAAACAGCATATAAAAGAAACAGAAGCTTTCTAACTATTAAGAAGCTTCTTACCCAAGCTAATTTGAACAGTTGTATAAATGTAAACCCTATGTTTCCATAGCTTCCTTCGTAGTCTGCTCTTTGAGTTGACCAGACACTGAATTGACATCCTCTCTCTTCTTCCCTGCATTTGTTTTTCAGCTAGTAGCACATTTGCAAGAGACAACAATTAGACTCTGCTCCACAGGTGCTGGAACTAAGAGTGCTGCCGCACCCCTGAAGTTGAAGTGGTTTCCATCATATACAGGGTTTACAGTTTGGTTCAATGGCTTTCAGCAACTCAATTATACAAATTGTTCCAGCACCCCTGCTCTGCTCCAAACTTCCCATTCCCTGATCTTCCTGGGATTTAGCCCTCTGTTCCCTGCTGTAAGATTCAACTATGCTTCAGCTTCAGCCATACACCTCCCAGGCCCCACGATTCTGGCTGCAGTCCAACTAAGTAAATGTGACCAGTGTATAACTCCCAGTTTCTGACTCTTTTTTTCCTAGACCTAATCACTCTCTTGCTTTGTGCTTGGGGTTCCATCCCTTCCCTGTGCCAGATGTAACTCTAAACACAAGTTCTTTAGCCAGTACCAAAGCAAACAGCCATGACTCCAAAATACTCCCCAATCTGCCTCCCCAGCCCTACTACACACCTTATAACGCCCTAGTTCAATTACTCTTGCTTTCCCTACCGTGTTCCACTTGTAAACGTGGATAAATATAAATATGGATACTCATTTAAAAAGGAAAAAAAAAAACAGGAAAATTGCCACACAAAAACTTTGTTAGATTAGAGATTGATAGAAAATGCACTCAATCATTACACTCATTAACAATGAAAGAAATCTCCAGTTAAGACAACATTAACACACACAAACACCTAAAGGCAAATGATTTAGAGACAGTCAAAACATTTTTCAACAGAATTTTTTTCGGCCAGTAAACGCAGATTTGTTGAAAGCAAAACATTTAGAAGCAATGTGCCAGTTTTGACAAAAGTTTGTTTAAAAACAAAATCTGAAATAAATGTTTTGCTCCATTTAACCTTTACTGAACATGTTTTGATTTTTATTTCAATTTTTTAAATGTTATATATTATCAAATCAAAATAGGAATGAAACATTTCAATTTTGTAAAAACAAAATATTTCTATGAACCCAAAATGAATTCCACCCCCTAGAATTTCATTTAACAGGACATTTCAACACTTTTGTGTGTTCTGTTTCAGAATGGAAGAAATTTCTAAGTCAGAAAATTCCCTGCAAAATGAAACATCTGGTTCCCACCCAGCTCTAGATTCTGTACTCAGATATAATAAACACAAACTCACTCTCAGACTCCTTGGCTTCACACACGTCCTTTAATTTCTAACATACAAACAATACAATTTGTGCACACATTCAGTTCCTTAGAACCACACAACTTTAACTGCAGTCTTAATGTTCAGTCTTCCATGTACAAACAACAGACTTCACTAGTACACATGTTTAGAGGGAAACTCTTTTTAACTAGCTGAGGTTGGAGTTCAGGTTGTGCATTTCAAGGAGACTGTGAAGAACTGAACATGCATTTTGTGGTCGGTTACATGTTGCAATAGAAAGGAAATATATTGCATAGCTGAGGAGTTAGTGCTTTTAGGTATTGTGATATATGAATGATAACTTCATGGGAGTCGAGGTGGCATGACATTAATATTGGCTTAACTAAAGTTCCTTGATTTCGGCATTGTTAAGAAATGCACTTAGAGCTACAGTTGCTTAACAAAAGTTCTTTGTGTGGTTCTATTATACCTCTAATACGTATGCTTTCACGAAAATTACAGAGGCACTGTAAGCTTTCAGCTATTCCATTTTTTATAATCCACCATAAATATATATTTTCTGAATATTCACTACTCCCTCCAAGTTTTTTTCCACTGCTGTTGAACAGGCAAGCTGACCAACAAAGGGAATACAAGTCAGCAAACCCTACTTCCAGAATTATGCTGACATAATTTCTGATACATTAACATTAATTTCGACTGCAATGAAAACTGGAGATGGAGAACATCAAAGTTTGGCTAAATGGAAAAAATATTTTGACTTCTGAGCACTATAAACAGTGGCAAGACTATGAAAAGCTCACCAATGTCCCTTTAAACTAATTATTTTAAAAGTATTTCCTAACCTACAGAACACTACCTCTATACCACCTGAGATGAAATCTCTTACTACATCAGCCTCTTAACCAGAAAAGTTAATCCCAACATTTTATTTTATTTACTAAAATTAGACTATTTTGTAATATCCAAAATGAAAAAAAGTATAATGAAATGTCACTAAGATTATGACATTGAGATGTAAATACTTTTTGCTCACTTTTGATTAAACAAAATAACAGGGTCTAAGCCTACAGGCTAACCACCATTAATCATTGCTAGTCTAGAGTCTGCTGTCTGTCAGAAACGTGTGTGTGTGTCCTAGCATAAAGTACAAATTGATACTATAATGAATATGTGATGTGCTATACTATTCTGTGTTCAGAACAACTCCCAGAATGCAGCTGACCTGAATATCTGCTTTTGAAAACTAATCTCATAACATGTGGAGTTTCCTTCAAACTATTGTTACTATGCATTGATGAAGAATTATGGCAGCTGCCATCTTTGTTACAAAGAGAAACAGCATAGAGGGTATTTAAAACTTATATATGATTTCAACAGAAAGGAAACAGAATAAAAAAAAGAGTTGTTTTCTTAAGATAAGACAGAAAAAAATTGTAACAAATCGAATATATACTTTTTCAAGATGAAAGAGTACAGAGTACCCTGCTTTTAAAGAGGATAACTCATTAGATCAATATATGCTAGAACAACAGCATGAACATTCAAATACTGGACCTGCATTCAAAGCACCAATTTGGAAGTCTCCACTCGCAGCTCTAAATAATTATCAGTGAACAAACTCAAAAAGAAAAAAAGGAAAAGGTTATTCTTTATACACAGTAAAGGTAATCATCTATTCTATGTCTCCATTTTGTCATCATATCCCATGTTCTCACATTGCAGCAACTCACTTGTTTGCGATGAGCTCAAGATGTATATATAAGATTATAGAAAAAAGTACAGAACATTTCCCTTCCTCCATTAAGGCACAGGGTGTTTATAAAGTTATGAACTGATGGATTCTCACCATCCCCAGGGAGTTCATCAGACAATTACTAACATGACTTGGCCCTCTGGCTAAGTCTCAAATTCTGCAGTTACAAATGTCACCGAGGCTGGTAAGCCAGAATGACGTGACCACCCCAGAAAGGACGAGGGGGAAAAGGACACCAGAGAGAATGCAAGAATACTTAGAAACTAAAAACCTGATACACCCCTTTTATCATCATCATCTACACCCTGTCTTTAGTCCCATTTCCCAATAACTTCTCTTACCTCTCAGGCGAGTCCAGTTTCTTAGAAAGGCAGGCCTCAACTCTATCCAAACTCAGTACCTTTTCCCCAAGGTGACAGTCTCTCCTCCTACCTCTTTCTGGAGCTGTTTTTCACCTTGGTACTCCTTCAGCCTCCCAGTCTCCTTGGGTATTGACTCTGCTTTCTCCCCCCTGGAATGAGCTAGGTCTGCGCTTATATAAAACTCCAGGGCCCTCTCACCACCAGCACACTCTGGGAGGGCTGGTTAATTGGAGTCAGCTAGTTGCGTTTTTCTTTTCTCCCCCCACCTGACAGCTCACTTTCACATTTTTGTGTCAGAGGTAGGACTGCTTCCCAAGGAAATTGTGAACTGCCAGAAAGGTAAGGGAACTTACGGGGAAATGGGACTAAAACTTTAGGTGCAGATCATGATAAATTACCAATACACCCCTTTATATATATCCCTACATTCTTTCTGGTACCCTTTCCCCACCACGACCCTTTTGGTGCTGGTCAGGTCATCCTAGCTCATCAGACTTGGTAACATTTGGAGCTGTGTTTGGGGCTTAGCTGGAGGTCACAAGTCACATTAGTGTTTGTCTTCTGAACTCCCTGGAGCTGATGAGAATCTACTGGTTCATATAGGGGAGAACCGATTTCCCATTACACTAATTTTTAGCTCTTCAACGCATGGAATATATTTTTAACAATACTGTAACCACTAAATGCACTGTGTTTATCTACAGTAAATTTGTTCAGCAATGGCATTTTAATATGAGCAAAAGCAAATTACAACTTCATTTAACCAATAATTTCCTTTCCAAGACCGAGTCAAGTTTGCACAGACTCTGGGTTCTTCCTTTCTCCTTGGCCAGACAAGTGGGTGTGGGGACCAATCAAATCTTACAATTTTTGCTTTTTCTAGGAATCTCCACCAAGTTCTCCAATTTGATTCCTTCCAATCCGAAAGAAAATGTGTGTTAACCTACATTAGCTCCTTATTCAGAACAAAGTTCCTCTGGATGAGAGTCTGTGTTGCCAGAAAGAAATTATCAGGTAAATGGCATAATTTTTCATCTCCATGACCAGGTCTGCTACAGCAGTACTTCAGCAAGCACCTAAGCTGTGAAAAAGGGAGCGTGGACAAGCTATCAGGAAAAAAGTATGTACTAGAATCACTGATGAAAAAGACAGGAAGGGGAGACAGTATATTCCAGCTCCCTATCCTTATAGCAAATGGCTCCTTAAGAGGGAACACGCAGCCCTAAGTACCATGTGACTAAAGGTTATTTAATGCAAAGTAAATGTGTGGAGAGAGTGTCAAGTGACTGCTTTGCAGAATTTGTCCACTGATGCTTTACTTAAGTTGCCAAAGCCACTCAGGTGGAGCGGGCTTTCATTCTTACTGAGCAAGCAACTTCCATCACCTATGTGCCTCAGGATGCAGGCTTTGATCAATGTGGAAAAAACATATTGCAAAATTTTCAGTGTCCTTTCTAGAGTTAAAGAATGGAACACACAAAGGGCGGTGGGGGGAATGGGACTGTTCTAAAAGGATCTTCCTGTCAGAGACAGGAATCAAATAATCTAGACCCTTGAAAGGAAAAAGCCAGGGCCCAGTGGATTCTCTTATGACCCATGGACTTCCTGGTGCCAACTGGCTGAGAGGAAGCATAGAGTTTTAAAGGGATCCCCTGGGTTGGATATCTGCATAATAGTTGACCAAAGGGTGGCAAGTGAGGTGTCTACTAAGAGCCAATAGCCCACTGGTAGTCATAATCATTGCGAAATGTGTCTGGATGATATTTAAAGAGTTTATTTATACTAAAAATTATGTTCTCAAGGTGTTGGAGTTAAGGCAGATCACCAGGAGGTGATATAGCTCTGAAACGTTATTTTCAGGCAGGAGGTAACAACACCTATCGCCCTTTCTCCCAGTCATGTGTGTATTATTTGTCTCAAAATATAGGTCTATCTGCATATTAAGTCAGGTGAACTGAGAGACTGCAAAATCTGCAAGAGAGGAAGTTTGCAGGAGGAAACAAAGAGCAAGAGGGAGGGGTCCTGCTTATTCATAAAGAAAAATGACTGTTCTCATATATCTTGAGGTGCAAGGGAACACATGGGACTCTTCACATAGGAGGCAAATGGACTGCCTTGAAAGGAGGGTCACAGTCAACCTGTCTGTAAAATGCTACATGGATTTTGGATGTACAATACTCTACAAGGCATGAGAGTATCTTGTTAATTAAGTCTAGGCTCTAGAATGCATGCTATGATTTTATTTTACATGTAACCATTTGTTTCCAATATTTCTACTTGTTATTACTTGAATCTGTGCTTTGCTAAGTAAACTTACATTTGATTTTACTATATACATATAAGTAAAGCAGAGAGATGTGATCTGAGGTGGAACTGATAAGCTGGGGTGTTCTGTTTGTTTGGTAGCAGCAAATCTATGAACACTGCAAGTGTTCGGTGGATCAGGGGCTGGACACACAAAACATAAAATGTCCTTGATACCTGAGAGACCATATAAATGAATTCATGAAACCCAACATATTAAAAAATGGGTAAAAAAAAGGGAAAAGCAGTACACTAAAAGGAGAGAAAAATGGAGACACACAAATAGGAGACAGGAGTTCATAGGCACAACAGAAATGGATCCAAAACATTTCTTCGCTGATACCTTTAAGGACTTGGATAAGAATAAGATCACCAAAAGAAACCTTTTGTTAATCCAACATACTGCAAATCAGTTTGCTCATCCTTTCTAAAACAGACCTATTTTTAAACACATTTTTCCTAGTTTAAGAAGTATTTTCTTTAAATGATGAAAAATCTAATGAACACAGTAATACATGACAAGATTTTCTGGGGCAGACAGTGTCCCAGAGTACACTCAAAACAATAAAATGTTTTGCCTGGGTTTTGTGCATTTGAGATATTAGGAGTAACAACATTTATATAAAACTAAACTATTCTATGTGTGTTGTGATAGCCTGAAAATGTTTCAGGCCGGAATACAGCTATTTCCTCATTAATTGAATACTGAGCTGATTAGAATAAGGAAACAGTGAGGAATGGGGCCCAGAGTTTGAATATCACACAATTATTATGAATACCCCTCTTTAGACTGAATGTTGTATTTTAATACTAAAAACTTTAAATGAAAAGAAAAACTACAAAAAACAAAGTGAGCTGAGAGGAAAACGATTTTCTTTTAAAAGTTCAACCCTTTTGGCCCCTCCTCCTTGCTCCCCTTCCCAGAATCTCCACTACTTTCCTCTTACATCCTCACTCTTATCTCCCTCTCTCTCCTCACTCATTCCCTTCAGCCAGGTTCTTCGCAGAAGAGCTATAATGCACTGGTGCCCAGCTTGGTCCTTTAGATTCTAAACATTGGCCCTCAGAGGTGACTGTATTAAGAAAAAAAAAACCTTTGTAATTGATTCTGAGTTGAAAATTTGTTCCCTGAGCCATGCCCTGCAATTTTAAAATGGAAAGTGACTGAACCAGCTCCAACACTTGGGGAGGTGATAGAAGAGACCACCACCTCCCAGCACTTCTCCTTTAGCCCCAATAGCAGCTCCGATTCCAGCTAGGCGCACTCTCAGTAGCTGCTGTTGCACTGTAGGGGAAGGAGAATGTAACTGCCTGTTCTATTGCCTTCTTCCTTGCTAGGGTCTGGGAACCCCAAGGAGAGCTTCCCTGGGTCCCGGGGGAATGCCTAGCAAAGGATGGCTCCTTTTCCTCCCCACACAACCAGCTAGGGCATCCAAAGAGGTGAGTGAAAGGAAAAGCTGAGAACCAATATCAGTTATGGTTCCCCAATTCTCTCCCTTACTACAGATTAGAGAAGCCTACAGATGGCTATAATCTGAGCAGAAGGCTATAGTCCCCAACACAGTGTACTCCAGCCAATCCCCACGGCCAATATACCCTCTACATTGGGGACTACAGGGAGGAAGGGAGAGGAGCTGTCTATGCTGGCCCTAAAGCCATTGGTGACTCCCCCATGCTGAGTGTATTCTTCCCATGGAACTTACAGGTGGTTCCAGCATCTTCCGTGTTGCAAAGGAGAGGATCTGCAAAGGCTCTAGAATAGGACAGTGAATCTGATTGTGACCTCTTGACTTTTTCAAAATAATATGCAAAAGTTTGGAGATCGCTGCTTTAGTGTATTTTGTGTTGTGTTTCAACACTGAATTGGGTGGAAGATGCTGAGATTTTCCCCAATACAAACAATAAATACAAATATGCTGTATGGTAATTATTTTAGGGACAAGAGTCGTGATGCCCTATGTAGACAGGGACAATGGAAAAGATGAAGGGCTTAAACTATTTTAAAAATGATTTCTATTTCAGTAGTTTGATTTTTAGTAATTTTCCTTCTCTTTCATGTACTGTAAAGTCTGGAATTTTTCAAATGAAAGGAATGAAAAGCCACAGCGTGCATGTTCTGGGAAACAGATGAAAAATTCTGAGTTCAAGAGGCAGAACTGAGGGATTGTAGTAGCTAAGTTGAAATGTACATGCTCACAGTCTGGTTACCTGAACATTGATTGGCTAATAACAATCACCAAAAGTATACAGAGTCACTTATTATATGACCATTGAGAAATAACTAGACAATGATTATGTAAATCAGACACCCACAACCAGAATGCAAGGAATTGCATAACCAGTGAGGAAAAAAATATAGCTTTGGATGAGTAACTATACAGCATTTCTGCCCTCTGGTTGAGACAATTCCATTTTAGTATAATAAGCATTTTTTCCTTACCTCATAAGGCAGTTTATCAAAATACCCATTAGTTGTCCATTCCCTGAGGGCTGCAACACTGAATTGTTTATTAAGACTATCCATTTCACAGCCATTCTTTTCTTCATCATCATCTTCATCCAAATCATTCATATCTATCATCGAAGTCTTAAGCGAAAGTACAGGTCTCTCTTTCACACCATGTAGTACTACTGCATCTAATTCAGCGTAATAGTCCTGAAGGGAACTATTTACTTCCAATCGAATTAGATTTGTGGGAAAGTCAATCTGTTTAATACAAGGTGTGAACTGGCGAGCCTGAGGAGAATTCACCTTGGTAGGTGCTTCTGACCAAAGGATTTCCCACCTACAAAAGAAAAATTGCACATATAATACAGTGATTAATACAAAAAGATGAGTTACTATTGTAAGCTCTGAACTTGCACACAATGTGCTACTCTGGCAAAAGTACAAGTATTTAGTAAGTTAGGAACATGGCTCAGAGGTCAGTTAAGATTGCTTTATTTCCCCAGACTTCAATAAATATCTGAAAAAGAAAAAAATTAACAGGCTCATCACATATTAGGATTATACAATTACTGTACTTCCTTTGCACTACTGATAGAACAGGATGTGTGCTCATGAACATACAAATGTGCTCTTTTACTAACACAAACATACAAATCCTTGTAACATATCACAATTTATGCAAGTGTGGCAAAAAGGAGAATAAGCTTGTATAGTAAACTTCATATCTTAGTGCAAATATACTAAATAGAGAACAGAGGGTCACATGAAGAACCATACAAATACTTAGCCAAAACTTCTTTCTAATTCCCCTCCCCACAAGCACCTTTTTAACAAAAAAACTATATATTAAATATTATAACAAAGTCATTAAAATAGGAATAGTTAATAATCCAGTTAATAATGACAATTTTTAAAGTGTCTAAGTTCTATTTTGTTGACTTTTGAGCAGTTAAGCAAGAATTTCTCTTCTAAGTCATTCATTGTGAAATGCCTCTTTAGTAGGGACCTACCAAATTCATGGTCCATTTTGGTCAATTTCACGGTCATAGATTTTTTAAAAAGTAAATTTCATGATTTCAGATATTGAAATCTGAAATGTCATGGTGGTGTAACTGTAGGGGTCTGGACCCAAAAAGGGGCTGTGGGGGGATCACAAGGTTATTTTAGGGAAGTTGCGGTATTGCCACCCTTACTTTTGCGTTGCTGCTGGCGATGGTTCTGCTTTCAGAGCTGGGCAGCCAGAAAACGACGGCTGCTGGCTGGGCGCCCAGCTCTAAAGGCAGCACCCCACCAGTAGCTGCGCAGAAGGGTGGCAATACCATACCATGCTACCCTTACTTCTGCGCTGCTGCTTTCAGAGCTGGGTCCTTGGGCAGCAGCCGCTGCTCTCCAGCCACCCAGTTCTGAAGGTAGCAACCCCCTTCTGGGTCAGGACCCCCAGTTTGAGAAACACTGGACTCCCATGAAATTTGAATAGTATAGGGTAAAAGCACACAAAAGATCAGATTTCACAGTCTGTGACACATTTTTCACATCCATGAATTTGGCAGAGCCCTACTCATTAGTGAAATGTTATGGATAAGAATTAAAAAAAAAAAAAACTTCAAGTCATCTTTGATCATTTGTAAATTTCTTGATTTTTTTCTTTTGGTAACAAGCATTTTTTGAACATTTTTATCCTCCCTGGCTGTACATGGACCCAATGGCAGGAGTACCAGGACATCCATGAATTCCCATTCATACATCCTCTCTGATGCACCTCCTTCACTGAATGGCAGAGTCACCAGTAGCAAACCACACATGGAGTAGTCTAGAGAAAGAAGAAAAGCCCCATCCTCACCAAGCCTGCAGTGCTCCCCAGCCTTGTAGACAGGCCTGGGAATGGAGAGAGGTCTGCTCTTTAAATGTATTCTGCATACTCCAGGCCAAAGGGAGGGGTTTTGCAGGTGCTCCAGTCACAGCTGCTACTTCACACTGCTCCCGCTCCTTCTGCTTCCTTGACCAGGTAGATTGATGACAGGGAAGGAAACCTACAACAGCTACTGCTGCTGTTTCCTATGGCATCGTATCCGCAGCATTCTCAGCACCCTATATACAAACCCAGTGAACTTTCACCAGTTGTAGCTCCCTCCCAACTCCGACTATCCTTGTCCTGCCTTCAAAGATCTCACACAGCTTGGCTATCCTTTGTCACACTGATCTCAGAGACCTGACACTGATTCTGCAGTAATTGGGCTCCCTTTCTGATAGAAGCTATCAGCACTCTGAATCTGTAACAAGTGTATGCTGATGATAAAACTACTTCTGAATATTTAGACAAATCAAAACATTGTTTACTCATACCAATACTGGACAATTAACTTGTCCTGTTAAACAGAAAATAAAATGTAAGCAATGTTTCCACTAAAAAAAAATAACTCAGTGCAAATAAGGCCTGGAAATTTCACTTGACAAAATTAAAATCCAGCATAGGAACATATAGCCATGCTTACCAGAAAATTTCCTTACTTCAATAATAAGGTCAACAGATCTGTTACAATGGTTACTACAGCCTGCTTTCAGCTTGGCGGCAGAACCAGACCTGTCAGTAACTGGCAGTGGGGGAATTCCCCACTTCCTGACGATAACATTGTAATTGTCATTACTACTCCAGCCAGGTTAATTCAAATCTACTTTTTAAAATTACAGATTGTGTTAAATATACAATTTCTCCTACCGCAGAGTATGGTAAATTCTACCTAATGACAACAAATCCAAATCCTTGGATGCCAATTTCCATCTCTATTCTGAATGATCCATTTGTCTTCAAGGTGGGCTGTGTCTATGGATTTTATTACTCAAAGGGAAATTTTCAGATAAACATGGATAAATTCTTCTATTCCCCTTCATGCTAAGGTCCACAGAGCTGTCACAACAGGATTTTCATATCAGTGTGCCTCCAGGATGGAAAGCAGCAGCATTCTTTAAATATGGACATCTAAAACATGCTGGATTATTGTGATTGAATGCATCCTTGTATTCACACCCTACACACGATTGTAATAATCTTTGTACAAAATATCCCTGGTAATGTATCATTTGAAAACTATTAACTTGCTGGTCAATAATATCATGGTAAAAAGTATGTAGCAACATTATGTGTTAAGTTATAAAATCCCCCTGTATGATATTACTAGCTCATGATCAAAAATCACAGAGCCCTGCACCAGAAAAAGTCCTAAACACAGAAGTGTGTGCATCTCAATTTAATAAAAGTTGTAAACAGGGTCCTAAGACAGGCTAAGAGAGGGGACAAGGAAAACGTGCATTTCAGCAGAGGGGAGAAGAAACAGCATGCACACTCTATGCACACTCTTTCACCACCAGACACCATGTTGCCTTCTTTACTGTTTGAATGAACTTTAACTAGGAAAGTTAAATGCATTTCCCAGAGTGACTGAACTATAACAGTGAAGGGCAAAAACACCCCAAGTTCTCTCTCCCTCTTCATCTCTCTCTTTTTCACCTAAAACAACAAAAGAAACAGCGTTTGGATTTTGCTAGCAGATTCTGGCCTGAGAATTTGGTCAGAAATGTTTCTGGGAAGCTGTGGTAAGAACTTCACCTTGAACCAAGTCTAGCTTGTTAAATTTAGAAGGCATTTTATTTTTCTCTCTTTTAACCATTTCTGACTTTAATGCCTTATAACTGTACTCACTTTAAATATCTCTTTGTAGTTAAATAAACATTTTATTCATTAATAAAAACTAGGGCTGTCAAGTGATTAAAAAGTAAATCGCAATTAATCACACTGTTGAACACTAATAGAATACCATTTATTTAAATATTTTTGGATGTTTTCTACATTTTCAAATATATTGATTTCAATTACAACAGAATACAAAGTGTACAGTGCTCACTTTATATTTGCTTTTGATTACAAGTATTTGCACTGTAAAAAACAAATAGTAGTTTTCAATTAATCTAATACAAGTACTGTAGTGCAATCTCTTTGTCATGAAAGTTGAACTTACAAATGTAGCATTACGTACAAAAAAACTGCCTTCAAGAATAAAACAATGTAAAATTTTAGAGCCTGAAAATCCACTCAGTCCTACTTCTTGTTCAGCCACTCGCTCAAACAGTTTGTTTACATTTGCAGGAGATAATGCTGCCCGCTTCTTGTTTACAATGTAACCTGAAAGTAAGAACAGACGTTTGCATGGCACTGTTGTATCTGGCGTCACAAGATATTTCCGTGCCAGATGTGCTAAAGATTCATATGTCCCTTCATGTTTCAACCACAATTCCAGGGGACATGTGTCCATGCTGATGACGGGTTCTGCTCTATAATAATCCAAAGCCATGTGAACTGATGCATGTTCATTTTTATCATCTGAGTCAGATAATACCAGCAGAAGTTCTTTTTTGGTGGTTCGGGTTCTGTAGTTTTCGCATAGGAGTGTTGCTCGTTTAAGACTTCTGAAAGCATGCTCCACTCCTCATACCTCTCAGATTTTGGAAGGCACTTCAGATTCTTAAACCTTGGGTGGAGTGCTATAGCTATCTTTAGAAATCTCACATTGGTACCTTCTTTGCATTTTGTGAAATCTGCAGTGAAAGTGTTCTTAAAATGAACAACATGTGCTGGGTCATTATCTGAGACTGCTATAACATGAAATATATGGCAGAACGCAGGTAAAACGGAGCAGAGGACATACAATCCTTCCCCAAGGAGTTCAGTCACAAATTTAATTAATGCATTATTTTTTTGAACGAGTGTCATCAGCATGGAAGCATATCCTCTGGAATGGTGGCTGAAGCATGAAGGGGCATATGAACATTTAGCATATCTGGCACATAAATACCTTGCAATACCAGCTACAAAAGTGCCATGCAAATGCCTGTTCTCACTTTCTGGTGACCTTGTAAATAAGAGGGCAGCATTATCACCTATAAATGTAAACAAACTTGTTTGTCTTAGTGGTTGGCTGAAAAAGAAGTAGGACTGAGTGGACTTGTAGGCTCTAAAGTTTTACATTGTTTTGTTTGAGTGCAGTTATATAACAAACAAAAAAATCTATATTTGTAAGTTGCACTTTCATGACAAAGATTGTACTACTGTACTTGTATGAGGTGAATTGAAAATTCCTATTTCTTTTGTTTATCATTTTTACAGTGCAAATATTTGTAAAAAAAAGAGATACACTTTGATTTCAATTACAACACAGAATACAATATATATGAAAATGTAGAAAAATATCCAAAATATTTAATAAGTTTCAATTGGTATTCTATTAATTAAATCACAATTAAAACTGTGATTAATTATGATTAATTTTTTTAATCATGATTAAT